GGATATAAAGATCATTAAAATCATATGTTGTATGAAGAAGTTACGACGTTAGGAACACAAAACCTAAGCCAAACCACAAGACCTATGTAACAAAGCAGTCGAGGTCATGATGGACATAAGCATCAACAACCCCAAACACGTCATCAATAATAGTCTCACGTTAGATGTCGTGAGAAAAAAAAAAAAAAAAAAAAAAAAAAAAAAAAAAAAACCCTAAATAAATCATTCATAAGTACTGAATGACTACAAAAAGAAAAAGAAACTTACTTTGAAACAATATATATATATATATATATATATATATATATATATATATATATATATATATATATATTAATGACTAAATGTGTACAAAAATATGAATGACTAAATGTGTACAAAATGATAAATATATTACCATAATAAGTTATTTTTCCCGCCTAACCTGGAGTAACCGGTCATAAAGACTGGATGTGTATAGATCGAAAAATATATTACAATTTTAAGTCATTATCCCAATTCTTTATTTGTGTAAGTGTGAAAATGATTATTGATTGCTAAGAATTATCGAAGACCAATGATATTTTTAGAAAAGAACACGAGACCTAACTCAATAATCATTGTTTACATTTTAATATCTTTAAATAAAAAAATAATAAATAATAAATAAAAAAATAAAAAAAAACTACAATCCCCGCCAATATCCACCTCCGTTTGCATCCCTAGGCTTCTTTTAATACAATTACAAATGAAAAAGATTTTACCAAGTGGTTTTCTAAAAACAACCTGCTATAAACAAAGCTTGGTTGAAGATTGTGTTTTAGTCCCCAATCTATATCTGAATATAACCCAAGTGAAGGATCTTAAGCAATCGTGAAAAAATTTCATTGACTATCTTGATAGCTTTTTGTGTTTTGTTGATGAAAGGTATATTAAAAGAAATGATTTTTTTCCCAATCTGGACCAATCTTTTTTACTGGTATATAACATTGCGTTAATCCTCTTGCACCTCGATTCTTCTATGCATTATTTGTTCTCTCCCTCGATCCTGTAGAAATTGTTGACAGTCGATGGGTCATGGTAGGCATGAGCATCAAATCTCATAAAACTCCAACCAAAGAACTGCATGAAATCAGTTTGTTTGGGATCAGTATTATCAGGACTAGTGAGGTTTTCAAAAAATTAGGGTAGAGGTCAAGAATGAAAATGAAAAAAAAAAAAAAAAAATCAATTTTGATAGATGGACGGGGGACGACCGTACGCATGATGATCAAAGAGGCAAAGTTAAAAAGCTTTGTGAAGTTATTTGCTATAGTTTAATATTTGGGTACCTAATGTAATATATCATATAAGGTATATATATATATATATATATATATATATATATATATATATATATATATATATATATATATATATATATATATATATATATATATATATATATATATAACGTGTTCGACACAATTTCCTTAATCAGGTCCACATAGGGCCTGCCTACACATGAGTTCGATGACTTTAGCCTTTAAAATCCAAAATCCGTACCATCAAGGTGTGCATAGGTCTCGAAGTAAATCACACAAAAAAATTTGTAAGCTCTTACATCGCCATACTTATAAACACACTAAAAGTTTTGTTCTTCCTCTAATGAGGCCACACCCACTTGGTTTTCCTAATTTTCATTCCACATATTCAATTTTGAGGATTGATATCACATTCACAAATACTCTATTTTTAACATATTATATATTTTTTCGAAGCTCACATAGGAAAAAACAAAACACTAAAGATTAATTATATATTATATATACAACATATATACTTATTTAAAAGTGTCCACGATTTAGTAAAGATACATAATTTACTAATTTTTCTAACATTAAGTTACTTTCCTTATAATAAAGATCTAAAATCACGACCACATTTATAAAACATAAATATGTCACATGTCATCTTTGTAAGCATAATGATGTCATACGTCATTTATTAATGATGTCACACGTCATTTATTGGTATTTTTTTATATTTCACTTGATATAAATCACATATTTTAAGAGGTTTAAAATTTTAAATTCTTAATTAAGGAATAATAGATCGTAATAAAATCCAAAATTTAATTTGAATTCAAATTTTGACAATAAATTAGGAAAGTGGTATATTTTCGACGTTAGTCTATACTACACATGTCCAAAACCTAGTACCTTACGAAAGGGATCCATTTGATACGCAAAGATATAGGGCTTTCCACATATGAATATTTCCACATCTGAATAGTGTAGTGTTACATACATTATATGCATGTATCAAAGATATAGGGCTTTCCACATATGAATAGTGTAGTGTTACGTACATTATATGCATGAAGTATAAATAATTTGGGCTTTTAGCCTTGATTATTGGTTTAAACTATACCAATAATTTGTACTTTTAGCCTATATTTTTTTATTTAAATTATATTGATGTGATCGAACGATGATGGGAGATTACAATTACCTAAGTGAGTTTGGTTTCAAAGTTGAATTGGACAAATTTGACCTATTTAGATGTGGTTTGTTTGACTTTTATTGGTGTGATTTGGTATTATAGGAATCAGATGTGAGTATAAGCAGGTATCCAACAAATTTGATATGAATCGGAACAGGTGGATTTTGGAATGATGGAATTGGTCGTATCTATTTCTACATTCTTAGAACCGATTCTAGAACCACTGAAAAATCATTTCTAGTAGAAGGTGCATCTCTAAAAGAAAAAAGAATTACAATGAATAACAAATGTAATATAAACTAAAAGAAAAATATAATTAGCAACATATAAAAAAACTAATGGAATGATAAAAAGTCGTCGATGTTTGTAATATAGAAAATAAACTCGGACAAAATCAACTCAATTGATAAGGTGGTCAATCTAATTTCAGATTTGTAGCCTTTTGTTTTAGTCAAACTCTAAAATCTTCTATTCCTGAACAATTTGGTTTTTTTTTTTTTTTTTTTTTTTTTTTTTTTTTGAATTTTTCTAAAAGCTAAAATTTAAAAGCTCATAAAAGCTACGTGCCAAACACATCCATGTCTAAGTTGTAACCAATTGTCAATGTTGTAACAAATCATATTGTTAAAACCTAAACAAAAATTAGGTTTAGAGACCATGTTATGATGTAAAATAACATTTCGTCATCAATATAGATTTTTAACCATCTTAATTGAAGCTTGCCATATTCGAATATGGGCCAACTTCAATTTGAAATGTTTCATACCAGGTGGTCATTCAAAGATTGTTTTGATAGTTGTTGATTGAATCAATGTCTAAACAAATCAAGCCCATCTTTGATCGGATCAAGGAAAAGATATATCAAAGGCTTCTAATTATGGTATAATCCAACTGAATCAGAGGCTTCTAATTATGAGATAATTCAACTGAATCAAACACAATCTTTCTTTTATCGAACTCATTAAGAATCATATCAAATTGCCCCTTATATTAAGAAAATAGCTTTAGAAAGTCAGTCCAATTTTGTATGCCTCGTCTCACTACGTAGTCTAACTAAACCAACCACAACAAAATTAGACAAACAAATGATTTGAAGAGTCATCTTCATGCATTATATTATAGCTCTTTGCTTCCTCTCAAACATATTCTCCATACAAATTATTAAAGATTTGCAAGAAAATAAATTACACATAACACAATGTATCACACAAAGAGAGAAAAAAAGAAAAACAAATTTGAGATAAATACATCCCCAAATGAAGGATCTTTAAATATAAAACACATATAAAAGACAAGTCTTTTTCTCTAGTCACTTGCACATATTGGCACCAAGAGTTCAATACTCTCAAAACCCCAATATAACATCAAATAAATAAACATTAAATCACATATAAATAACTTACTAAACACATACACCAAAAAAAAAAGATTCTAGGGCTTCTAACTCATAATCTTGATTCACTTTCCTAATTTGTGTAATTAGGCTTTAAACCAATCATATATCAATTGTCTGAAGATTTTTCTGCACTTTTCTCCTCTAAAAGTTTACCAGATTCATCATCAACCTGGGTTGCCTTCTTTTCTACTTCTTTAGCCTTAAGTGCCTGTAATTTCGCATGATTATAATAAGCAACACCCAAGAAAGCAATGCCATAACCAAGTAGATTAATGGGGGTCACAGTGTCCTTGATCACAGACCAAGAAAACGCAATCAACAGCCAATCTTTGACAACTCCGGCCACATTCATCGTCAATGCTGAAGTCTTTCCAACAAGTAAAAACACAGCAAGATTCAAAGCGAATGCACACAAAGAATTTGTGCCAAAGATGAAGTAATCGAAATGGAAACTTGAGGTATCTCTGAGTTTGGGAAACTCAACGATGATCCAAGGGATTGATAAGAAAGCAAAACAACAAGGAGCGACATAGTAAAGAGAAGTAATTGGATTGAATGTAATGCCTTTCGAAGTCAACAAGATCTGAATCAAAACCAATCGGGTAGCCTCGAAACAAACAGCACCAAGCTGTAACATGACACCCCAGCTATTGAATTTAGCTTCGCCGTAAGCGGCGATGGCGACACCGAAGGAGATTGATAGCATGTTAGTCATGGTATCGCCTTTAAACCCGTCTTTTTTTAACAAAACGCCGATGGAGTAAACGGCCACAGGCATTAAAGCTTTGAGCATTTGAATGAAAGAAACAGAGAGATAAATGTAAGCGGAATTCGAAAGCCATAAACTGAGAGAGTAAAGCAAACCGATTGGAACGACGGATTTGAGATAAATATCGCGAGTCATCTGAACCGGTTCGACGACTTTGAGAACACTGACGAGGATGTATGCTAAGGAAGAACAGAAACCCATGTGGATCATGGTTAGTGAGATTGGGTAAGGCCAATCGTACATCTTCCGATCGAGGATGTATTTGTTGTAGACGATGACTGTGAAGCTGAGAGAGATCCATATTGCGACGTAGGTGTATGACAGGATGATCTTCTTCAATACGCCTTCGCTTAGGGATCCTCCTTTCCCCATTGTAAACGGTGAACTGGAATGGATCTGAGTGATTAATTAATCAATATTGATTAAATCAATGGGAGAAAAGAAGAAACCCAATGTGGGATTAGGGATCTATGGCGGATGGAAGGTGGGTTTTAAAGAGATTTGAGTGAATTTAGGAGAATTAGGTTAGAAGAAAACGTTGAATTTACGGAGTTTTTGTGTGTGTTTTAGTGTGTGTGTGTGTTTAACGGGGTAGGTGACGACTGATGAGGACCGAATCGCGTTTTTACACTTTTACTAGTCTTGTGAGGGTGACATGCTAAATAGACATCATACTAAAACTTTTTTAAAAAATATTAAAAATAACAATATAGTTTAATACTTTAATTTATTGAATATCTTTATTAAACTAGAGTATTTTATTATTTATTATTTTTAAAATTAGTTGTATTACCTACAAAAATTATTAAGTAAGTTATAGTCTTAGTCCATACGATTTTTCTATAGATTTAGTTTTAGTTATGAAAAATAATATGAGTTATGTTAATGGTTGTAAAATCCATCAAATTTGGTGCACTTATTGTTAACCCCCCTTCCCCCGGTTTAAATGCATATATAATGACAAGTTATTTTAGGATATATGTTTGAACAAAATACAATTATAGAAATATGAATAGATTACAAATTTAGTTTTGACAAAATTATAAAAATTGTCCATGATGTATGTCAAAAATTGTATGTTTAGGGCAAAAAAGTTTAGTCTGAATTAGTGGTCCAAAAGTTTCATATTTTTGTGAGTTTGGTCTAGTGCGGTTTGAACTTTTTTATAAAAATGATTTTGCTCTTATTATTTAATTTTTTATTTTTGTTTTATTACCAACAATTAAAAATAAAACAAAAATAAAATTATCTCTTTGTTTATGTGTGTGTGTTTGTGTTTGTGTTTGTGTTTGATAAACATTAAGTACATATTCATATATTTAAGAACAATCAAGAACATCTTCCAAGAACAATCAAGAACATCTTCCACCACCACCGTTCGACCACCTTATGACACCACCATAGTCTGCTACCACCATCGTTCGACGACCTCCACCGTTGGCTTGAAATCATCCAAAAACAAAAACAATACACAAAATATGGGTTTGTTCTTGAGTTCGCCCCTATCTGATGAATATACACACACGCAATTAGATTCGATGAACACACACACACAATCAGATCAGATGTACACATACAAAGTTAGATGAACACACACACACACGAAATATGATAAAAACCCTAATTGAAGAACGAAATCTGATGAAAACCCTAAATGAATAATGAAATTAGATGAACACGTACACATACACACGAAATCTGATGAACACATGTTTTCTCGTCATCACCCTTGATACTCATTAGACCTCGAAGACAAAAACCCTGACTGAAGAAAGAACTTGTTGTAGGAAAAAGAGATTGGCGAAGTCGCCACTACAAACCCTAGCTTCGATCTATATGTCATCGCCGCTACACCACCTACGTACACCACTATCCCCCATTCCATCCTGTAACATCCCAAAATTTACGACCAAAAATTTTATTTTTAATTTAATAATTATAAAACATTTGTCTAAAAACATCATAGTGCTACTAATATCAAAACCAGTATCCATAATCAAAACATGTCATGACAACCTAATATTAGAGTAAAACATCCCAAGAATCACATAGTGCGGAAAAATCATGTGTGATGCGCTACAGTTAAGCCGGCTCCTTTCCCTTCGAAGAGGAAGTACCTGAAACCAAAACTAAAAACCGTAAGCACAAAGCTTAGTGAGTTCCCTCATCATACCACATACCATATAATACATATACTGCCTAGCATATCTGGGTGCTAGCCTACCCTTCGGTCTCTTTCAACCGGTAACTGCCTAGCATATATGGGTACCAGCCTTACCCTTCGATCTTTTTCAACTGGTAACTGCCTAGCATATCTGGGTGCTATCTTACCCTTTCGGTCTCTTTCAACTGGTAATCGGGGACTTTTTCACCCCTACTACTACAACATAATACTTTAGCATATACATGTTGGATAAGGTGTCTAAGTCCATAACTATTTCTGGTATGTACTTGACCCGACCCGGCATGGTCCATTTGGGTTGCATGGCACCATGCAATTGGATAGACTAAATGAGAGAAATAACGCTTGGAGATTATTAATATATTATAAGTTCTAATATATTAATAATATTATTTGATTAGTTTGATCAAGAATTAATTTAGAATTAATTAAGTGATCAAAAGATAACTAATTAAATATATGGGTTGATTAAGTAAATCATCCATATCTTGTATAGTGGGCTAAAAGGCTCCATGGATCATCAAGTTGGGTTCCACCCATAGGATGCTCCATGGATGCTCCATGGGAGTTACAAACCCATGGGTCATGGAAATGAAGAGTCATGACACATTAGGGTTTAACCCTAGATGTGTCAACACTATATAAGAAACATGTCTCCACCTAAAATCGGCTACAACACATACACACTAAGTAATAGAGGGCTTGGCCGATTTTTGAAGAGTGTGTATTCTCTCATAAGTTCTTCCAAGAGCATTTGGTGTTGTGTGAAGCATTTGAGGCATCACACTTGGGTGCTAGGCTCACAAGGTTTCAAGGAACACAAGCAACAACAAGGTAAGTTATTCTATCTATACTTTATGTTAAAATTGTTCCCCATGTATGCTAGATAGGAATATAACCTTGGAAATCAACTTTGCATGACAAATTAGACAAACATAGATCCAAGGTTATTAGGGTTGCATGTACACTTAGGAAGTGTTAGAATGCTCAAAACCCATCAGTGGTATCAGAGCCTAGGCTTGTTTGTTCTTATTTGTGCTTAAAAGTTGAAAACAGAATCGGAAATTTGCTGTCTGCGAATGGACTCGTCGAGTCTATAGGGGGACTCGTCGAGTCCATGTGTATCTTCAACCAACTCGGCGAGTCATGTTCTGCACTCGGCGAGTAGGGTCGAATGAGTGCAGAATTTCGATTCAGTTGCTGGAAAATGAATTAGAAACATTACCCTAAACTGTTTTAGTAAATGTAAACTTGTTTTTGGTGGTGTAATGTTTTGCTAATTCATTTACAACAACTAGTTATCAAAATTACAAAGTTTTATGTAATTTTTGATTATGTTCATATTCATGTTCTTGTTCTTATGATGTTTTAGATGATCATAGGAATTATTTGTAACCTATTTGGTAGTTTAATTCTTGATCATAATGTGTTTTAATGGAGTCCATAACTTATCCTTAAGTTATGGAAAACCAAGAGTCACACTTGAGTTAAAACCATTAAGAAAACACAAGAGTTATAAAAATGAAGAGTCTTCATTTTATGACTCTATTAAACTCATAAGTTACAAGAAATGAAAAGTTTTGAAAGTTACAAAACTTGCCCTCAAGTTTTGGAACAAGTAAAGTTAAGTTAAAACTTTAGTTCCAACCCCTAGAATTTTAAAAGTTAAAATTCAACCCTTATACTTATATTATGATGATTTAATAATTATATATATATGTATAAGAACAAGTCGTCTTACCGCTAGTACGCCTCATTCACGAAGCCGGTCTATAAGGTGGGTATAAGGTTGTTGCCTATAAAATGGTGACTTAATGGGTGAATATTCTCACCCACCGCTTGCTTGACTGGTGGAGGGTCGTTAGCCGAACGGGTAAGACAAGGACTTATAAATTCTCATTCAAAGTATGATGAATATATAAAGTAACTAAATGTTTATTAAATTCCCAATCTTAGTTACTTTAGGAAAAATGTGAATAAGGTGCTAATCCATGAAATTACACTTTACACTTTGTCTGAGTCGTTGGTGGAGCGTGTGTGGTTAACCGGCACACTAACTTGGACTTAACAAGGTAGGTAAAGGGTGACTTAAGGTTTATTATAGTATCGGTGGAGCGTGTGTGGTTTACCGGCACATCGATTGAGTGATAAACTTTAAGGGTACCAAGTGATTTGCATGGTTACTTCACACCTCGTTTTGTGATCCTCGGCATCCCAGTCACAAAACCTGGAGGGCACTCCCGAGATTGAAACATGCCTTTGAAAAGTTCATTGGATCTCAAAGAATCTAGGAATTTCTAAAACCAATAAAAACTAAATATTTAATATTTCGGTTTTCGTGGTGGAAATTGGTGAATCGTCATTCACCTACCTTTCAAATATGGTATAGCTTAGATTACGGCATACCTCTTCTAAGTTATATTATATTGTGATTGGATCCTAGCCTTAATATTACATTTGGGTGTTTTATTAAGGACTCTCTTAAATCTAAACTAAACTTGTTCTTCTTTTTCAGATGTCTTCAACTAATGCTTCTGGCTCGAATCCTAATGGCTCCTTTACTCTTATGAGTTATGTGGGAAAGTCACCTTTGATGGATCCAACTTCAATAAGTGGATCAGAAACATCAGGATGATTACCCGCTACGAGGACAAAGAATATGTCCTTGACAAGGAGCTTAAGGAAATTGACGAGTCCACTGCAACTCCCCAGGAGATCGCTGACTTTCATACTCATGAAAGAGATGCAACCAAGGTGGCTTGCATCATGTTAGCCACCATGACAGCTGAACTCCAAAAGTCTTATGAAGACTTCTACCCTTATGAAATGCACCAAGATTTGATGGAAAGATACCATCAAAGTGCACGACAAGAGAGGTACGAAGTCATCTGCTCCATGATAACAACCATGATGAAGGACGGAGAGTCCGTCACGAGCCACATGCAGAAAATGCAAAGGTATGTGGATCGTTTGCTGAAGCTCAATGTGAACTTCCCTGAGGAGCTTGCAATAGATATCATTTTGCACTCCTTACCATCGTGCTATGATCAATTCCGCATGACATATCACATGAACAAGGAAGAGGTCACCCTCAGCAAACTTCAGGGACTTCTCAAGACCGCAGAAACAGGTCTTAAGGGGAAGTCGGTTGCTATCACTCCTACTCCAGACTCAACTCCGGTCTTGGCAA